TGTATACCGTGTTAAAATTGATACTAAAATAAATTGTTGTGCTTTTTGTTGTGTTGAAAACAGTCTTAACCTTCCCCGAATATCCTTAACTATTAAAATAGTTTTACGAATTCTCTTTAAACTTATTTAATTGTTTTATTTTAAATAACTAATATACTAGTTAGCTCTTGAATGATTGTAACTGGAATATGATGACATAAAAATAGTATGACATCAATATCACTTTGTATCAAAACAAAAACAAAATTGTATAAAATTAAATTAACTAATTATACAATAACAAAAAAACTTATTTTATCATGGCGAAATTCGTTTCCATCCTCTTTGGTTTTTACAAACTTAGTTTTTCTCTTTTGAAATGATTAAAGACATGAAAACGGATTAGAGCAAAAGACATTATTCTATAGTTTATGCGGTTCATATTGAAATCAAATAATATGATAGTGTTTTAAGGAACTGACTCGTAAGCTTCAGCTATAATATATCTCGCTGAGAATGAATCTTTGCCACAACGAGAAGCTCAATCTAGTAGATCAAGTCCATAAGTAGAGCATCGGTATGTAACCCAATAATCAACTAGTATTCGCTGTAAAGTTGATGGATCATGGAAAGAAACCGATGCAACCTTAGAATTAGGTTGGATTTGTTCAAGAAAAATCACACTATATTACTCGGAGCGAGCGAAAGAACGAAGAAAAAGCATATCACTATTGCACTTGAAAATGGAGACTTTGATATAGGCGATGAAGTTCACTTTGGAGAAAGGTCGATTGCCGGACTATCTAGACGAACTGTTTTGAGTTGATCAACTTGACTTAATTTTCAGAATTATGGTCCTCCTTTTTTATTTCCTTTGATACTTTTGGTAGGTAGTTTCTCTAATTTTTCGTTATCATTAATCTCAGGATTTCTTGATAATAAAACCGACTGTTTGGCTCAATCATCCCGTTCGATATTAATTGAATTTTTTTTTTTTGACTGAAATACTATTAAATTAAATAACTAATGGTCGATATTTTTTTTAATGAAGTGAGTTATTAAAAACAAAAATAACTTATCTTATCGACACAAAGAAAAACAACAACAGTTATAGCACAAACAATAAATGATTTTCTAACCCAAATTAGATAGATATGACTTATGAGGTTGAAATAATCTCCACTTGTTTTATTAAGGAAGGAAGAAAACCATATTACATATGTCCTCCATCTATTAAGAGTTTAAAACAAAGACCTTACATAAAAGATAAAACTGAGGACTATTTCAACTTGGGTTAGAGAACCATTTACTGTTCGTACTATAATTGTTCAGTTTTATAATTTACTGAATTTCGTCCTTGTGGTTATGTCATCTCCTTTTTCAGAGGAGATTCTCTTTGTACAAATAGTCCATTACCAAATTCTAAAGAGTAATTTAGCTATGCATCGTTATTTACAAAAATGTTTAATATGGTTCGTTGCAATATTTATTACAAAATTAAAGTCGAAAAAATTAAACTATTAATACTCCTCGCTAATTTTATTTTTATTTTTATTCCTTTTTAACAATATGTACTGTACTATGTTATGTTTTGAACTGGGTTTAGTTCAATAAAACTAGTGGTTCGAATAAAAATATTATAACACTTTCTATATTTATAATTTATAAATTAAAACAATATTTGATTCATAAACTGTGTAAAATAGTATTAAATATCTTCTCAACAAC